AGAATTTTCTTTTTTAAGAATTAAAAATTATGTAGACCATGTTTTTTCAGTTTTGACTAGTGCATTTCCTTTTTAAAACTAGGTTAAATTTTCTTTTATCGGGGTTATTTTCAAAATATGCTGGTTTATTTAAATTGGATTTCTTTAATTTTTGAAAGACATATCCCTTAGGGGTCAGAACTAATGTTAAAGGGTATATAGCTATTTCCAAAGCACCTGTATTTGAAACAATGCTTTTGAGAAATCATGCGGAGTATCTTTGTGAAATAGGGTATAGTTTAGAAATTTTGCCCTTATTCTTATATGTTATATAGTACAAGTTTTCTTCCTTTTTCATTATCAAAACAAGCAAAGAAGGAGAAGGTGGAGAAAGCATAAATTGACTGATATTACCATATTGCTTTAAAACTTAAGTAAGAAATGATGCAGAAAAAGATCGTTTTCATTTATTTATTTTCATCTCCTGAAATCAGTTTGCTTGTGTCTTCTCTAAAGCAGTAGTTGTGCAATGGGATTTGTACCTTTGCTTTCCCTTTCATTGAGGCAATGATAACTTGAGACTATCACTATCACTTTATGCTGAGTATCAGGATAGCAGCTTTTCTTGTAGTGGAGTGGGGCAAAGTTTGGCAACATTCATTTGGGAGTTGTAAAGGAATGTTAGTTTTTCAGCAAACTGGAGGAAGAGTTCTGTTGATTTTCATTACTTGTTTTCTGATTTGTCAAAATCTACTTTTTGAGGAGATACTGATTATGAGTCAAACCCAGGGTCAGATACAATTGCCATAGATCAAGGAGCTTCATCCCAATGAGAGTTCATCATTCATGAAATTTCGGTAAACATCTACTTAAAAAATTATTGATCCCCTCTTACCTTCATGGTTTAAGTAGGAAACATTCAAATTATGATCTAATCTCCTGGTAGATTCTTGGATTTCTCTGATGAAATTTGGTCTCTGAAATTTTTTATCTGCTTAATTGACGTTTAATGTGGAGGGTATGTAGTGAGTACTTAAATAATCAATTTAGGGTCTATTGTGCTTTAATACTGTTTAGCTGTCACATTTTATTTATTTCTGAAAATTATCTTTTGTTAATTTTCTATTAGAAAAAGAAAGTGAGGAATTAGAAAGTTTTTGCATTTATATTTCTGCTTAGTCTTAATTGAATTATTACATACCATCTGTCTAATCTTGCTAATGATTTTGCTTTTATTTCGTAATGATATCATTTAAATCATAGCAATTTGAACCACAGAAGTGTCAAGTGGGTATGCTACTGTATTTACAAGACAAAACAGCGTGTTCTGGAGTACTGCACATGCATATTACACAGCTCGTTGAATGAATTAGAATTTTAAGTGGTACTATGAGAAGCTGTTTATTTGTTACCTAGAGCTCAAAGGGAAATAAGCGTCTAGTGATTTATGCTGAAGATACAGACCTTGGTGAAAGCTGGTACTAAGCTTAATGGCAGGCAGAATTAGAAGGAAGTAGGTGATAGTCTAAGAGCTTTTCATACATGTCATTTCTTTGAATTCACCTGTTTCTGGAGAAAATGTCTAGCAGTGCCTATCTCATACTGATTTATCCAAGCTTTTTTACTGGAAAGGAGGGCTAACCAGCCTGGTTGCAGATTACTAAAATATCAAGTTATTTATTTAATTGAGATATAATTCACATACCATAAAACTCACACTTTTCAAGTGTACACTTCAGTGGTTTTTGGAATATTTATGAAGATGTGCAACCATCACCTCTAGGAATTAAAGGAGAAAGTTGCTCCCTAAAGTAAGCTCCCTGATTTCATGTATTACCTGCCCAGCCTATAGTAGGGAGTGTTCATTTGCCATTGGGCGCATGATTCAGCTTGGGCCAAGAATTTGGGACTTTTTAAGGAAGTTTTAGAGTGACACTCCATTGACTGTTTTATGAGGTGAACTACTAATTTAGTTCTGTCCAGTAGATGGGGCAACCATATTTTTGATCAGGTTGTGATACAGTTTTTTTAACTGTGCTATAAAGTATTCCGCCCTTGGATGCATTAATGTAATAGGAAGAGCATGGTCTTCAGAATACAGAGAGACCTGGCCTGGCCACTTAACTTACAGCCTGTTAACTTGGGCAAATTGCTTCATCTTGCTGAGCCTCAGTTTACAGGAGATAGTATAAAATGGTTTGGTGAAGACAGCGTGATTAGGCTTGCAGTGCACTTTAGTTTCAGATCTCCTGACTTCTGTTTTCAGTTTCCTTTGTATAGAGCTATGTTTTTGTTTTGAAATAATTATTTTTTATCCAAAGGTTTTTTAAGAAACAGTTAATTTATCAGTCCATAATATTCTCTTGGTAATTTACAGAGAATGAAATAAATGAAATCAACATTCTTTGTCTGTGGCCAAGGAAAAAAAATGTTTGTTACTGGACTATTGGCCAAATATATGATTGTCTCTTTAGAAATCTTGTATTATAGTAATATTGTTAGGTAATAAAGTAACTAACCAAAATTAGGAGCCCTAACTTTCCCTTGTAAGGTTAAGTGATGTGGCTCAGCTTTTGGGGCATGGTACTGATAACTTATTTGAGAACTTAATCTTGCACAGTGAGAATCAGCCCTAGTTAGAAAAAGCAGTAACAGTTGACTTTGCAGAAGAAAGAATGGCCTCATATTTTCCACCACTCATGTGACCACAATGCATAACTATAATTAAAAGAAAGTTTTATTTCAGCCAAGGGTAATCTTCATTCTGAAAGAAGTGACAAGCTAATATGAATGACTTTTGTCCTGTAACTTGTTAGGCGTATGTTTTCTACATTGCAAACATCTATAATTTGTTTGGATGAAGCAGTTCCTTTATGAAATGTGTTTCTCAGTGCGGTGTTTTAAGTCAGTTCTTTGTGTGAAGGGGACAATGGCAACACATTGAAAGCCGTTGGTGTCTGAGGTTACTAGTTGAAGAACTGCCTAGAGACTGGTACAGTGTTACTAATTTTCAGTGAATAAAGCATAGGTTTTTTTGGTTTTGTTTTCCCTCTCCCACCTCAAGTAAACTGTTGCTACTTGAATATAAAGAATTTTACTTTTGGGGCCTGCCCTGTGACCAAGTGGTTAAGTTCTGTGCTCTGCTTCAGCGGCCCAGGGTTTTTCTGGTTTGGATCCTGGGCGTGGACCTGTAACAGCAAAAAGGGGCTTGTTCTGCTCGCCACAATCCAGTGCCAATCAACTGCAAACAAACCGGTGGTTGAGAAAGGCAAGTGTATACGATTAGCCAGCAGAACCAGAAGATGGTGGACTAGTGTCCCTACATTATCTCTTTCTTCTGTCCTTCGTGATGGGTGCCAATGCCGAGTTTTTCTTTCTGGAGGTTGTCATGTTCCTGGGGAACTCAGGGAACAAAGTTGTCTTATCACAGCTGGGAGATATACGGAAGCAAGAGTCATAGAACTAGCAGCTCATGTATTTTGTAAAAGCAAGAGGTGCTTAAGCATCTAGGTTATGTGCAGGCTAGAATGGATGCACATTTACTAGTGAGTCAGGGTCATGGTTACAATATGGCTTCTGTCCCTAAGATGGCTGCCCTCGTGTTAACTTAGGATCTAGCTGTTACAGACTTAGCACTGCTCATCAGGCCAGGCTTGGGCAGCGTCCCACAGAGCAGAACCAGAAAGACCTGCACCTGGAATATGCAACTATGTACTGGGGGAGCTTTGGAGAGAAGGAAAAAAGGTTGGCAACAGATGTTAGCTCAGGTGGCAATCTTTAAAAAAAAAAAGAATTTTACTTTTAATGATTCAGACTTTTGCAACTTGTGGTTGTTTATATAAAATTATTATTTGCAGCTGTCACTTTGTCTTCCATACTGTTTCACTGAATTAGGAAGGAACCTGATGTAAGAGAGAGAAAATATTTGTTAGGTTGAAGGAAGGATTCTGTCTCATTTTGGGATTACTACATTTATAGCATTCTTTTTTGTTTTTTAAAGATTGGCACCTGAGCTAACAATTGTTGCCAATCTTTTTTTTTTCTTGCTTTTTCTCCCCAAATCCCCCAAGTTCATAGTTGTATATTTTAGTTGTGAATGCCTCTGGTTGTGGCATGTGGGACACTGCCTCAGCGTGGCCTGATGAGGAGTGCCATGTCCATGCCCAGGCTCTGAATTGGCAAAACCCTGGGCCGCTAAAGCGAGCGCGCAAACTTAACCACTGGGCCACGGGGCCAGCCCCCTATAGCATTCTTTGAAAAATATGTTTAAATTGTGCAAATAATTTATACTTTTTGTAGAAAACGCACTTAATGCAGTTAAGTAATCCTACCATCCAGAGATAATTGCTGTTAATCTTTTGATGCCAGTCTTGTGGTTGTCATTCTTAAAGAGGTAAAATATCACCTTACCAGGTAGAGGAGCTTACATCTTTCAGTTTTCAGGCTGAATAAAATGATAGACTATTGTCTTTTAACAGAATGTCCTGACAACGTGCTGAAATATTTCAAACTAAATTATGCTGGAGAACCTGTTTTTAAAAATGAGGAGTTGGTGCGCGGATACAGGCAAAAGTAGCAGCTAAAATAGAAAAACAAGGAAACAATTGTATTCACCATTCCTGTGTAGTTAGCAGAACAGACTGGGCCTTTGTCGGTAGTTTCTACATTGATGAATTAGTCTTTACTTCCTGAATATCCTTCTTAAAATTCTTAGGCTTTTTCTCTAGAAAGTAAAGGTGGTCTATTCTCATGGGTGCAAAGTTTGGAGGTTTGTTGTGTAATTTTATTTGTTTTGAGTTTCCATGGAATGTTTATCATGGGAATCACTTTTGGAGAGGTTGATCTAATCACATTAGGAAATTGGAAATGCTTTGTTTTCCAGTTTCTGTGGAGAAGTGAGTTGGGTGACACTAGTTGGGTGACATAGCTTGGGTAGTGGACAGAATTTGGTGGTGGTAATTTTCTCTTACTGCTAAAGCAATCCATTTTTGAGTTCTCTTATCCTTAACTCGCTCTTCTAGAATTCCCAGAGGACCTGTGCAGCAGCCTCTTGAGGATCGAATCTTCACTCCTACTGTGTCGGCAGTGTACAGCACGGTGAGTACCTCGAGGTTGTTTGTCATATTGTCTCTCTGGTTTTGCTCATAAGCCTTTGATATTACAGGCATTGTTTGATCAGCACGTGATAGGTTTTTGGCAAAAAGTTCAATAAAATCCCGAATAAAGTTAGATGTATGTAATATGATAAGGTGAGTAGGCCTTTTCCCCATCATCTTAATTTAAGAAATGGAGATGAAAAAAACATAGTAAGATAGATAGGCTTCTACACCTGTCTTCTTTTTCCTCTTTCCATACATATGCCCCTCTGGCCTTGTATCATGATTTCTTTTAGGACACTGGGTTTTAATTTTTTTGGATATTTTTTCTTAAAATTTTATTTTAAAAAGTTATTGTACTTTTCCCCCTCTCTGATTACATACAAAAAATGCAGAAAGTTTGGAAAAGGGAATGTTGGTTTTAATGGGAGAAAATTTAATTTTTTATGTTAAATGATTGATTCAAATTCATAAATGAAGGGAAGTTTAAAAGTTAAGAGGATGAAGGTAAGAAAATTAGAAGCGGATCTCACTTTGTCTTACAGTGAGCTTAAGGGAATTTAGAGGAGTCAGACACATCTCTTTAATATTTCAGTTCATCATTACCGTTTATTCCTGGAATAGACAGGGTGCTTTAGAGGAACTCACAGTGTGGTGAGAGGTGAGCAAAAAGATAATTGTAATCTAAAGTGATATGATAAAGCAATGATTCTTATCCTTTTGGAGTATTAATTACTTTTAGGACCTGAAAATAGTCACAATAGTTTCTCCTCAAAAAAGAGCATATACCTAGTGTTGACGTATAATTTCGGAATTTTACAGATGTCCATCAGGCCATTTGTAGGCCCCAGGTTAAGAACATTTGTTTGGAGATGTGAATGTGCTATTATATGGGAAAGGAAAAAATAGTTTCATTAGGAAGTGACACTAAGCTGGAAATACAGAAGTTCTCTAGGCAGGGAAGGGAAGAAAAGGCTAGGAAGTGAAGATTCAGAGGTATGGTTAATGAAATGGCCAGGAGTCAGTCCCATCTGGAATGTGTGCTAGGTTTTGTAGCAGAAGCAGAGACGAGATAGATGGGTTTTGGAGGTTTTAAGGTTGTCCTAAAGAGAGAGAACTTTATCATGCAGGTAATGGGTAGGAGGATTATTTTTCCTGGTTTGCCTGAAACAAGTCTGTTTACTCCTAGTGTAGGTCAACTAAACACCTGTCAATTACTTTTTGAGTTCCCTTTAACTCTTAAAATGTATCCAGTTAATTTATCTGGTCACCCTAGTAATTGGGAACCTTCAATTTACATTGAAAAATAACTTTTAACTTTTTTCTGGCACCAACTTCTAGGCCAGAGTTATGTTTTTCTTTTTTTGTTTTAATAGTACTGAGCTTAAGGGCAGCATAGTTTTTGTCAGGAATAACTCTTAAAATATAATTTTTTTCTAATTGTAACAGTTACCTTCATCATTGAATTACTATTTTCAAAATTAAGATAGGTAAAAGAAGAAAACAAAAATTTCTAGTAATCTTGAGTGATTTCTAGAGGCACCTGCTACAACCATTTTTTGGTATGGTTTTTGTCGTTTTTCTTTGTTGTAGGCTCTGTATAAGATACTTTATTCTAATTTGACACTTATAGTATTAGCACTTCTTATGTTACTCGAAAACATTTCTTAAATAGTAAATCGTATATTGTGTTGTTAAAAGAATTTAATATTCACTCAACATTTGACAGAGATTTCTTAATCTTTTAATGTGTGTCAGATACTGTTGTAGGTGTTGGGAATATAGTAATAAGTAAGCCAGATACTCGGTCCTTATGGAGCTTACTTTTTGTGAGATAGAAAGATAGTAAACAAATAATATATGTAATATAGTATGGGGTAGTAATAAATTCCTTGATGAAAATGAGGCATGATAAAGGGATAGAGAATGACTGGATGTCCTATTTTAGCTAGGGCTCTCAGGTAATTTCTATCTGAAAAAGTGGCATTTAAGTAGAAACCTAAGAAGTGAGGGAATGAGCCTGCAGATTTCTAGGGAAAGAGCATTTATGGTAGAAAAACAGCAGTGTGAAGGCTTAGAGATAGCAACATGCTTAATGTAGTCTTAGAATTGCAAGGAAGCCAGTGCAGCTGGAGTAGAGAGAGGTTGGAGACAGAATTCAGAAAAGTATCTGGAGCATCAGATTATGGGGGAAATCATAGACCATGGTAAAGATTTTGGATTTTAATGTAGATGTGATGGAAAGCCATTGGACACTTAAGAGCAGTAGATCTGAATTTCCCACTGCGGCCTCTATAGAGAGAGTAGATTGTGTTGAGGGCAGTTGGTTATGGTAGTGAAGCGGAAGCAAGGAGACCAGTTAAGAGGTTACTGTAGTGATAACAGCAAAAGATGATGGTGGCTTGCCCTAAGGTGATAGCAGTAAAAGAGATGAGTGGTGGGATTTGGTATATATTTTGAGAGTAGAGTCAGTAGGATGTGATGATAGCTTGGATGTGGGATGTGAGAGAGAGAAGAGTAAAGGATGATATCATGGATCTTGGCTTGAGCGACTGAGTGAACATGGTACTATTTATGGAGATGAACACTGGGTGAAAACAGAGTTTTTGTTGAGAAAAATTAATACATGTAAACATTATTTTGGTGAAGAGTTAAGCATTAGGTTGTTTCCAGTTTTTCCTATTAGAAATAACTAATTTGAATTTAAAACCTTTTATGTCTTTTGTATTACTTTTGTAGAATAACTAGCTAGAAATGCAATTACTGAGTTAAACTGTAGGCATTTTATTAAGATGCCCTATAACTGAGGACATGTGACTTTGTGAACTTAGTAGTTTGGAGAGGAGATCATCAAAATCGTCTCCTCTGATGATCTCCTGGCAGCACAGTGCCTGCTACGCAGTTTACATGAAATGTTTTGAATCTAAGTTTTTCAATTTATTTTTGAGTTAGACCAAATTTGACTTGTACTATTTAAAGCTACTGCCAGGGCCTGACCCGGTGGTGCAGTGGTTAAGCGCGCACATTCCGCTTCAGCAGCCCAGGGTCTGCCAGTTCGGATCCCGGGTGTGGACATGGCACTGCTTGGCATGCCATGCTGTGGTAGGCATCCCACATATAAAGTAGAGGAAGATGGGCACGGATGTTAGTTCAGGGCCAGTCTTCCTTAGCAAAAAGAGGAGGATTGGCAGCGGATGTTAGCTCAGGGCTAATCTTCCTTTAAAAAAAAAAAAGCTGCTGCCATACATGTAGTCCTTCAGTCAATTAAAAAAGTAGGTGTGTCAGTGATATATCGTGCCTATTCTGGAAGGACAAAGGACTTTAGATAGTAATAAATTACCTAAAGCATGATAATTTCCAGTTTTTGATCAGTTGTTTCCGTTCTTAGTAATATAAGTCTCGGCCCCACTTTCACAATGTTGTGCACGTTAGCTGAATGAGCAGGACAGTGATTGACCAGGTGCTTGGACATTTTTAGTTCCCCTTTTTCTCAGCCCCAAGATTATGTATTGGTCATTATTCCTCTAGTGTCTAGGTCCATTAGCATAAATTCTGTGTCATAAAATAAAGGCTAATCCTCAGTTCACCTCTTCCTGCCTCAGCATATGGTGCCCATATGTCACTTTAATTGAATTGGTTGAATTCCTTGAAAGGCAGAGAGACTCTTGGCCAGTCTTTAAAAAATTGTGCAGTCAAAGATTTTACTTCTTTCTGTCTGGTATGTAGGCTTTCTGCCCTTATGTCACCTGTCTTAGATGGGTTCCCTGGTGATGATCAAAGCAATATCAGGAGGAGGGCTCACGTTTTATAACTCCTTCATGTTACATATTGAGCCTGGTTATTATCTATTTATTTATTTTAGCCTGGTTTATATAAATTTCTCCTTGCAACCTCTGTCGGGGATGAGAGGGATGCTTTTGTCATTATTCCTCGTTAACCATAATTACATTAGAATGTTTGATCATAGAACAAAAAAAGAATAAAGCCAGTGGTTTTTAAACTCTATTAATAGCAGTATACATTATATAGCAGACAGAAAAGGCAAAACTAAAGAGACATGAGCTAATTTGAAATGTATTCATTGATAACTCTCTTATTGTTGTGCTTCTCAAACACAGAGTATGAAATTTTACCGTGTTGTATATTTTTGGCTTACATATTTTATTTAGAGAAGTTAGATTTTATTACTATTTTTAATATAATTATGGAGATAACCTTAATAAAAAATTTTCTGGAATAATGACTTTACTACAAGAAGCAGTAATTTATATTCTGGGGGAATGGAAGTGTTGTCTTATTAACTACTTATGAAAAATTTCTGTAAATAAATTATTTAATTTGAATAAATTACTCCTTATACCATAACATTTCATGATCCTTTTTTGCCAGCTAATACTTTATAAAGTCTTGCTTCTGTCATCCTATAGCTCTTTGTCATCTAACTAGAAAATCCTGCTTTTATGTCTTTTCCCAAGTCGCTGATAAGTATTGAGTAGGCCGATGTGTCAGTGGAGACCCCTGCACAGAGACAAAATTTAGCATGGGTTCATCAGCTCTCCTTAAGCAATGGTGTCCAGCCAGATGTAAATCTACTTAATTGTCCTATAATCCAGCAGAGAATAACAATCCATTTTTCCCCCAATGATAAATACACCAGTGGAACTGATGATTTGCTTTTTTCTACTTTATTTTTAAAAACAGTTTTTTGGGGGGCTGGCCCGGTGGTGCAGCAGTTAAGTGCGCATGTTCTGCTTCCGCGGCCCGAGGTTCGCCGGTTCGGATCCCGGGTGCAGACGTGGCACTGCTTGGCAAGCCATGCTGTGGCAGGCGTCCCATGTATACAGTAGAGGAAGATGAGCACCGGTGTTAGCTCAGGGCCAGTCTTCCTCAGCAAAAAGAGGAGGATTGGCAGCAGTTAGCTCAGGGCTAATCTTCCTCAAAAAAAACCAACAACAACAAAAACAGCTTTTTGAAGTATATTTGATATACAGTATATATAGT